TCAAAACAAAATTCAGTTTAGGGAATTTGATCCTGGGATCCTTTAAGACTCAAGTGGCTGTGAAATACTTCCAGACACCGGCACAAAGCCGGAAGACACACGCATTGAGTTTGCTGATGGCCACAGCTTCCCTGGAGGCTTTGACTTTAGTTTTGTCTGTCTATCCCATTCCCCTACCTCTGCCCGAGTTTGGGGGTCTTGGAAGTTCTCTTCCTTCCAGTGCCTTCCTCAGGGTAGAGTGCTGTCTCTGGTGACTGGTCCTCAAGCTCAGAGAATGGACACAGCTGCTCTGGTCTTTTCCAGGCTAAGCAGATTCTGCTCCCCAAGAGGGTTCATTCCATACCCACAGTGAATTCTGTATCTGAGAGGAGTCAGGATTCCCCCTTGTACAAATTTTGAGTCACACAGAATAACAGCATGTATTTGAAATACTAAATTGTGGGTATATTTCTCTGAATTGGTAATTCCTGTCCTATTCCTAGTCTTCTCCTTTTCCTTAAAAAGAGATAATATTTTATAAAACCAGATTCCCACCCTAGCTTTGTTGACTCTCACCAATCCCCCATCTCATATATCCCTCTCTTGCACAAGCCTTTTGTAATTATGCAAACTTTTCGATTGTTCAGCTCTGATAAAGATGCTGGAAGACGTTGTGAGTCACACTTGTCCCTGTGCCCAGCCCCTAGAGTGGACTGGCACCAAGTAGCCACTCAAATATTTGTGAACCAGTGAATGAATTCAACACACAGGATATGGTGGCCTCAGTGTCAGTGTGTGAAAGTAGCATGTAGCAGAGGTGAAATGTGACCATGTCAACTCCTTATCCAAGGAGGTGGGTCTTGGGCCATTTGGATTGGATTTTGTGAGTGTTCTTTGGGAAATGAACTCACATTTCCTTCCATCTTAATCTGAGTTTCTATTTCTAAACCTTCTCTACCAACTCACATTTATTCTGCTCCTTTGGCCTCACAATAAGCCCTATCATGAGATTTCCATGGGCTATAATTGTTTTAAAATGCTGTCTTTTGGCAAATTCAGCTGATTGTATAAATGGTGTTTTGTAACTTGCTAGTACTACAGAAAGCTGTTCTTCACCATGTCCTCATGCATCTCAGCATTTAAGGCAAAAATACAGATGAAATTTAGAGGAAATCACAGTTAATCAAATTGTTGTGAAATAAAAGGAATTCTGGAACCACTTCACCCTTCTGTTGCTTGAATTTGGTGGTGAGTGTTGGTTTGGACCAGTGTAGCATTCAGCTATGATGCTAAGTAACCTTAGTGCCAGCCCTCTCTGTCATTGGCCCTGGGAGTCACCATGGATGGTCCCTTTCTTTCATTTGACCTTGGTTTCCTCATTTGTAAGAAAGAGCTAATGCCTGTCTTTCAGGGTGATTATGGGAACCACACAATAACATATGCAAAAGTGCTTTATAGGCAGTAAAGCCATGTCTCAGATGAATTATTAGTTCCTTGATGACTCTTGAAATGGCAGGGCTGTTATCCACACAAGAGCTCTTATCAGCAGTCATTACGTAGTAAACGTTGAGTAACGCAGCAATATTTGCAGGCACCCCTAAGGCCCAGAAGCACCTGCTCACGATAAGACTTTCTCAGACTCATAACCTTGCCTCCCACCTTGACTGTAGGCCATGACCAGTGTCCTCAACATCAAAGGAAGGCGGGTGAGGCTGTAGTCTGAGGTGGGAAGGAACACAGGCCAGGTGTGTAAGGTCTGAAGGGAAAGAAAGGATGTGTCCATGGAGCCTGGAAGAGTGTTTATTTGGTTAACTGCCCTCTCCCTGATGCTTTGACTTGTGCCTACCACACAGACGCTAGGGCTTGATTATTAGTTGAGTGAAGTCTGTGCAGCAGTCCTAAATAAGCTCTGTTGATGACCACAGCCTCTTTTATTCAGTATAAATAGGCAACTAAAATTGCTCCACATAGATAGTTTGGGGCCCTTACGTTAGTCTTTTCTATTCAGATATTATTTGTTTACCAGATAGTTTCATAGAGCATGCAACCTTGTCATAGAAGAACTCTAGACATACCCTGAAGACACAGACATCTACCAGGCATTTGCTATTACAGTATAAGAGGACCACGAGAGAGGGTGTTTAGAGTGGGACAGTTTGAGCTGGGGTACTGAGACCTTGGGCCCCTTCTGTTTCTCTTTGTTTCTGCCTGCCATGAGGTGATCAGACTTCCTGTGTCATGTGACTCCATTGTGCTATTCTGTGCCACCATAGGCCCGAAGCAGCTGGACCAAGTGACCATGGACTGAAACCTGTGGAACTATGAGCCATAGTAAACTTTTCCTCGTTATGAACTGATCTATTGCAATATTTTGTTATAGTAACAGAATGCTAACATAGCATGCTCAGTATCTTTTAAGAAAAGCATGGATAAGAAAATCATAGTTTGACTTAAGGTACATGCATTGGGGGGTAATGGTTTGCTCATTTTGAAAGGATTCACTAGAAGGTAATTTTTCCCCAAATATTTGAGTGCTGTCTATGTATAAGGAGCCACAACAGGTATGAGGGAGATGTGAAGCTGAATCAAAATAGAGTCCCTTCTTGCAAGAAATGCTGGTTTGGAGTGGGAGAATGGCATCAGCAGTAGGACTGAGTGTTGCAAAGATGCATCTGGTGGCAGTGGAGTACCTGGGGAGAGGCCTGAGTGCCCATGACCGTCACAGAGTTGGGAAGAGAGATGTGGAGTGCTGGGACTCTGGAAATGGAGAGATTTTTTGAATCGTCCACACATCGCTGAAGGGGGATGACTCTCTTAAAGTTTAGATGCACTTGAGCTTCTTAAAGAAAAGGAAGATGCTTTTGAGAAATATAAATCTGCGTTTTCCCCTAGTGGTATCACTTGTCTGGGATGAGGTCTTCCATTGAAGGAGCGTACTTAGGTGGGAAGGGGCTGGGGACACAGGTGGGAGAGGGGTAGAGGTCCTGCTCCTCTGGGTACAGTGGGCTCTTGACCTATGAACTGAATTAGTTCCCAAGGGTTGGTTGGAACTCAGGTTGTCAGCTGAAGGCTTGGACTCCTGTACACAGCCTTCAAAGTCTCTCTCCTATATACGGGTGGGTATCAATGTCCTTAGAGAGACCTTGGCCCAGGATTTCTCAACTAACCCTATACAGGAAAGGGTGTTGTAATGTTCCTTCCAGAACGCCTTAAGGGCTAAATCTATATCTGAGACCATCCGGAAGTACAGGTGGCCAGCATTCAGGTCATAACTCAAGACTTTGGTCATAAGTTAAACCTGAAATTCCGGTAATAACCCAAGTTGTTCATATGTCATGTTGGTCATAACTTGAGGGTCCACTGTACCACCTCTATCCTAGAGCAGCCTCTGCACCCCTCCTCCAGGCTCCCTGCCTCCTCCCTGCCACTTCCTCTCCTCCTCAGCCCATACAGAGACTTTCCCAGGCCTCTGCGCTGCACTCTGTCCAGCTGTTCCTGCCCTTGGTGTTTCCACTCTTTGGCAGGAGAATGGCCACTCGGCCTGTGTGGCTGATTGTAAAGTTGGGCAAATTACTCGCCTCGGAGAGTGATGAGGCCAAAATGAGAAACGCACAGTAGACTCGCTGCCTGAGGCCTTGAGATATAGACAGTGCTTGCTGAGGAAGAACCTCGGCGTGTTCTTTTCTGAGAAAGGACCAGTGTCCTGTGAATAAGCAGGGCAGAGCTGCCTGAAGGACAGGGTGGATGGTGCTCTGCTGTACTTTATATGGACGTGAGTTTATTCTCCCTCTCTTCTGAGTTCTCTGAGGGGTCAGTGTTAGTTTCAGATTGTGAGCATTTAGCATTGTACTTCAGTAAGAGTTCAAAATGGGCCCTTCGTTCCTTTTGTCTACCAGCGTGCTGTTGTTGGTGTCTCATCAGCAGGGCACTTAACGTGGCTTTCCTGGAGGTGGACAGTGAACTCCAGTCCTTACCTCTTCTGCTTGGGACAGGGTCCCACTTGTGAGAGCTGGAGCTGGCAGCTGGGAGACACAAAAACAAGCGCTGGAATCCTCCTGTTACACACACACACACACACACATACACACACACTGTTTTTATTAGATGAGTAATCTAACAAACTAGAAACAAAATTGGTCTTACGACCATTGGAATTAAAGTTCAGGACAGAGGAGAGAAAGGGGTTCTTTTCTGAGAAAGGACCAGTGTCCTGTGAATAAGCAGGGCAGAGCTGGCTGAAGGATGGCTGGATGCTGGGGAGGCTGTGGGTAGAGGAAACACAGTCTCTGTAAGTCTCAAGTGTTGGAGTTTACAGATCAGGCCTGAGCGGGAGTAAAAAGTGCGGGTATGACAGACAGCTCGACCCACGGCTTGTCTCCACTGTGTTTGTCTCATGGGTACCCACTGAACGATTGGCCTGTGAGTAGATAAATCCTAGAGATCTGGCAGCCCTACAGTGAGGTTGATCAGTCTCTTGGTGTGGATGCATGGAATTGAGCTCCTCAGGGTTAGGGAAAGACAGGCACTGCGGGTTCTTCATGCACCCCAGCGTCTGTGGGGCACCGTGTGTGAGCCCCTGAGCTCAGCCATTCCACAAGTCCGCTGTCCTGGTGAGAACAATTGTTGCCGATAGATCAGGCTCTAACGGGTTTGATGCTGCTCAAACCCTCTGCGGTTACCTCTGTGAAACCTGATCGCCACTCTCACTCTGTCATTTCGTAATCTCAACCTTTTCTCCAGTCTTGCTTTTTGTTGGAAATATTATAACATAAAATGCAAAGGCAAATCTCTTTCTGCCCTCGGTGCTTTCGTGCTCCTGTTTCTAGCTGTTCAGTGAGAAGCACGTCTGAATTTAACCTCCTTTCTGGTGGTGCTGGATGGAAACTGGAGCCTTCCTTGTGAAACATGCCTGTACATTGAGCTCTACCCTCCTCCCGAGTTTCTTTTGCTCAGTGTCTGGGCCTCGGGTGTCTATTTGATGACACTGCCCTGTAGTAATGTGCTGTGTCCTCTGTTTCTAGCTATTGTGGATGATGAGAGGCTTTCTGCAGAGGAGATGGATGAGAGGAGACGGCAGAACATTGCTTATGAATATCTGTGCCACCTGGAGGAAGCCAAGAGGTAAGATCCAGACTGCGTGCGCCTCCTCTTGGAGAGAAGCTGGAGGAAGGGTGTGGGTTGGGTGACCAGAAGGACACGGATGGGCCAGCATTTCTAAAGAGTACAGGGACCAGGGAGAGGCTCTTGCCTGCAGTGAGTGACTTCGATTTGGAAGCTCCCATGCCAGGCCAGTGGGCAGGGGGTGACCCCTCCACACCCTGCTCCATCCTCACCCCAGCTGGGTGCGACTGCACTCGCCCGTGGAGATATGGCTGTGCTTTTAATGACTTATTTGCACTCTTGTTGGTAGCAGGCTTATGAAAGGAAAGAAGAACCGCTTTTTACCCATGGCCAGGCAGATCTGAGGAAAAAATTGCCACCACAGTCAAGGTCAAGGCACCAGGGAGGCAGATGTTCATTTCCCTTTCCCAGAGTCTCTGGGAAACCCCTGAGCAAAGTTCAGAGTGTGTCAAATTCTTCATCTTACTTGCCCAGATATGGAGGGGCAGTGATTGAGCCAGGTTCCTTTGCCCCAGAGGCCTCAGGTGTCCTATTCACTGTCACTGCAATGGTGATAAATGCCCTGAAAGAAATAGCGTATTGGGCTGAAGTCCATGCATGGGTCACTAAACGCAGCGTGGGTTTATGACGGCAATTTCCTCCTTAACCTGTGGGTGTGTGGCCTCTTAGGGTATTTTGTCTCTAAAATCACATTGACTCTTTTAGACTCTTCTGATTAAGTAAGTGTTGGGTTCTCCAAGGAGAAAGTAAAGATAAAGAATCCTAAGAGCAAATACTTTCTTTATCAAGGGACTCACAAGAACTTTGACCCTGGCTGGGTAAATACAACATTGTCCAGATGTGTTGTAGTTTGAGTAAGCCCCGTATGACACAGGGCTCCTTACAGGAGCAACCTATCATTTCATGGGCAGATGATGCATGCCAGTCCTCTTATCCACACAGAAAATAAACAGTTAAATGTCATTGGTGTTAATTATCTCTGATCACTGATAAATGCCTATCTTCAGAGTTAGAATTACGAGGATTTTAATAAGTATTTTGTAGAATGTCATTCAGTGATACATGCCCTAAATTGGCATCAAAATTGCTTTATAGGGGGTTTCTCAGTGTTTACTATTCTCAGAGTTGTAACTTTGTATAAGCTCTAGTGACCAAGTTTTAAAAGTTGCTTAAATATCTGTGAAGCCTACAGTTAAATTGCAGGATGCTAAAGATTCCCTACCAGTCTACGATTGTTAAAAAATGCCTTTAGTTAAGTTGTTGGGAAAAAAAGTTAGATAAAGAGAGTGATTCATAGACCTTCAAGAAAACTGTACTTTGAAAAAATTTTGAGAGTTAATGGAAACTTTCTTCCTTTTCCATATACTTTCCAAGTTTTTGCCTGTTTTGCTTTGGTTTTTTTGTTTGTTTTGTTTTGTTTTTGGTAAGTGGGAAAGTATGTCATATAGGGGCGGGTATATGACTGGTAGTGGGGAGACCTGATTTCTTGTTCCCTGCTCCACCACTTCTTATGCACTACGTGACCTTGCACAGGTCACTGGACCCATGAGGAAGCCCAGTTGTGTCACCTCTGTAAATGGGATGATAAAAGATAATACCGCCACCTGCTCTATGGACTTCATGGGCTTTTTCTTTTTCTAAATATCAACTAAAGAAGGTGAAAGCATGAACTGGGCATGGTGGCACATGTCTGTAATCGCAGCTACTCTGGAGGAGGGGGTGAGAATGGATAATTCATTGAGACCCCATCTTAAAATAAAACAGTGGTCTGAAGGTGTAGCTTAGTGGTAGAGCACTTCCCTAGCACATGTGAGGTCGTAAGTCCCATCCCCAGTTAGAGAGAGAGAAAGAGGGGAAGGAAGGAAGGAAGGAAGGAAGGAAGGAAGGAAGGAAGGAAGGAAGGGAGGGAGGGAGGGAGATGAAGGGAGGGAAGGAGGGAGGGAGGAA